ATAAGAAATGAAGTTCTTTATTGCAACTGAAAAGAAACACTCTACAAGAAAACCATTCATAACCGATTTTTCCCAAATTTACCTCCACCTTATTGCCGGTAAAAATGGTGGGATGTCCCTCCTTACCCAGTCCATATACCGAAACCAAACTATTTCTCATGCGTACTTTAGGACCATGCTCTTCCTATTGTCCATCTGAAGGACGTAATCACCAATAATCTCAGTTTTCTGAAGCCGTCCTAGGTATTAGACACATGGGCAGTGGACCCTGAGTCAAAACACCATGACACTTCCTTAGGGTCAGCTAGCATGGTCTCAAGGACCACACAAGCATGCTCCTTATTGCCTTTGGGATTCACATTCTTGGGTGCTATGCAGTATTTTGCTATGTGCCCAAACTTCTTGCAGTTATAGCACTGGGTATTTTTCAAATCATTCTTTTTCTTAGGCCCATCTTCCCTCTTTTGATTCTCATTGTTCTTATTCTTATTCTTGCTTCCCCTTCTTTTTCTTTAATGAACCAGAGTTGAGTTTCAGATTTACCGGGTTCACATATTCTTTCCCAGCTGTATCACGAGTCATTCTTCTTTCTTCCTTGGCTTTGGGCTTGATGATGATCTTGTCTAGCTTCGACAAGCTCCCTTATGCCGTGAGGGCTGAGACGAAGGCTTTCCAGGAGCTTGGCATGGAATGCAGCATGTGGCAAACTTGCATGTTTTTCATCAGGCTTTATTTGGGTAAGCCTCCAGTTCTTGAATCTGGGCTTTAAAAGTTTGAATATGCTAAGTCATCTTTGCTCCCTCTTTCATCCTTTTGCAGTCTTCAGTATCTCATACTCGAGGGCAGGAGTATCATCCATGGGCATAAGGAGGAAATGCTTAGCCAGGGTATGTTTCGCTCCCACTAAGCATAAGCATCCCTTATGGATTGTCTTTTATAAACATTTCCTTGTGGTGTGGGTGCAGGGTTCTGCATCCCGCTGGGTCTTTCTTCGAATAATACATAACCAAATTTCTTTTTCCCAACTTGTATAATTCTTCTTATTAAATTTTTACAATTTAATGAATTCAGCCATAAAACCTCTGTCTGGCATCTTTCTTGACTCAAACAAATAAAATAAAAAATCTCTTGACTATGGCAGTAAAATATGTGAAATTCAATGCAGTAAAATAAAAATTTCTTTTTAGTTTATGAATGTATGAACTCCACTTATGAGTGCCAAAATACACATCTATAAATAAGAACTAAATACAGCTTTGGGTCTTTTCTTTTTGTCAAATAGAATATACACTATCAAAGAATAAAAAACATGCCTCCACTAGCAATTTTAGTACAAATAATGTTCCTGGAAATTCAAATAAATATGTGAAGATGACTAAAAAATAGAAACAAACGACTGGGATGACTTACTCCAATTCCCCTTGTGTACCCCAATAGGTTTTACACCCCACGCCTGATTTCCTGACCTATGGCACACTCTAATCCTATTGGACTTCTGAATTATCTGAGCTGTGAAGCTTCCTTAGGCAATGCCTTACAAACATGTTTCTATGAAAACATAATGCAATTACGGTTACATGGACCCCTTTATGAACCTTTAGGGCATGCTACTATGTGATACCTCCTCTAATTCTAGCTTAAGGCCGTACGCGCTCCCTATCGCTCACTTTTATAGTGTGGTGCGACCCACCCCTGGAGACTTAAAGGGGTGGTGTGCCACCTAGAGAAAGAAGGGAGGACAAGAGAGGAGCGAGAGAGTGGGGTGTGGAGAGAGAGGGAAGAGAAAGAGAAAGGCGGGAGTAATGTGTAGAATGAGGGGGTGGGCCTTTCTTAAATAGGCCTCAAGGGCCGTAGGCATGCCTATCCAAAACTGTGACTTACATGACCAATTATTTGTAAGGTGAGAGACAATTAAATCTGAGCCATCCATTCCATGAGTCAACTATCATGATTTAAGGACGAATTATAAGAATCTTATCCCTTGAATATTTGACCCATATCCACTTCTAGTCATACTAGGATAAGAACAATCTAACCCTAATCTTTTGCAACTCCCATATCTATTAAGATTGTAGGAATTCGTAAGATAATGATATGGTAAACAATCTTTCAAAAAGAAAAATTTGACTCCTACAAAATAAGGACAATCTTTTTTTCGAAATATTTCCTTAACTAACAAAAAGAAACACTTTTAAGAATTAAGACAAAACGAAAGAAGAAAGGAGGGAACGTGCCACTCCCATGAGTGAGATGTGGGCTCCATGGGTTCCACGCACCACCCATGTGGTGTGGCGCACATGTGGGGCTGGATCCAAGGGCCCAACATGTGCCTGTCCTCTCTACCTGAATTTAAAAAATGAGCATTGAACTCTGAAATTAATGCTTAAAATCTGAAAATTTCTAAAATTCACGGAAGCATTTGTCTTTGAAAAAATAAATATCTATAAGTGGATTGGTACCAATGGGTCATCATAAGTAACGTTCATGACACTCTACTCAGCCCTGTAACTGTTATCCTTGACTATCATCTCAAACCAACCCAAAGAGACCCATAACCCACAATCTCATGCACGAGCTTATGATTAGCTTGTAAAAGCTGGCTAATAGGAATGTGGATTACAGTTTCACCCCCTTAAGAGCAAGTCATATGCACATATCACTATAACATAAGGAGGACTATCTCTGTGCACATGTATACATCCCTTTTCAAGGTTGCTTCCCGATAATGCGGCGGTCATTTATACATGCTATGCGAAATTTTATTGAGGATTTAACCCTCGTTCTCACAAGCCAACATCTGTACATAGGAGACCACAAAGTTCTCCTGGCTTTTAAACCATCCCTTGGTATCTCTCTGACCTCAACAAAGGATGACTCTCTTAAAACTCTTTTCAGTGGTGCCATATGTCCAAGGGTAAGAGTTTTGAGCATTACCAGGGCCATACACCGTCTAACCCTGGGTCAGTCAACTAAGACATAGATGTCCATTGGAGTGTATAATCCATTATAATTCATGCTCTCACGGCCTTTAAAGGCTACAAAACCTCAACATCTCCCACTTCGCATTTGGAGGCCATACAAGCACTCCTTCTCAATCTCTCTCAAGCCCATCCCTTGTACATGCTTGGCAGATACATTTGCCACCAATCTTTTTGTCAAAGGATTTGTTAACATGGCCTCTGTCGGGAGATAAGCAACCTCTATCTCTCTTGCTCAAATCTCGTTGCGAATGTGGTAGTAGTCTCTACCTTAATGTGCCATGGTTTCTTGTGAAAGTGAGGCTCTTTGGCCAGACAAATCACTGCCTGCTTGTCACATAAAATTCCTACAGATGGGCACTGCATTGGATCAAATCTAAAGAGAGGCTTTTAATCTTAGCCCTCCATTGCTTAAATCAGCCATCGTAATAATAGGTAATAATTTAGAATCCTTAACCTTTAGTTTCCTTGACCCATTATTTTCTTTATCAAAATATGAATGTTTCTCATCCAAATTTTTTTTTATTTTATCTTAGAACTCTTCTAAGAGCTTTTGAGAACTCCTAGGCCTTCTAGAAGATCTTTTCCATGCTTTAAAAAATTCACCAAACTAATTTTAATAAAATATTCAATAATACAACAATAATTAGTTTGGTTGGATTAGGAAAGGGGGCATGTGGGCCTATGGAGCTCAATGGGTCCCACGGCCCACACTATTTGGGCTCTATCTATGCTAGTTCCCATGGTCCTTTGACTATCTTGTCGAACCAACCCAACAAAATCCGTGATACACAATTAATCAAAAGAACTCATGATTGATCCATCAAAGATAGCCAATAAAATAACATGAACGTGAATCTAGTGTGTGGATTATGGGTTACCCAAAGGACAAATCATGTCCCACATGGATATGTACACATTATTATAAATAATGCAAGGGTCCTCTCTTTAGCACATGCACACGCACTACCCTCATGGGTCGCTTCCCATTGATATGGATATCATGCATTGTTTAAAAAAGCGAACCACCCAACGCCTGGGAGGCCGCCTAAGTGGATTTTCCTGGACGCCCGCTTGAATCCGCCTAGGCTGTCGCTCAGGGCCTGTACCCCACCTAACGGCAGAACTGTGGCTCCTTGAGGGTACGTTTGGGCACTAAAAAGGCAAAATTTTGGGTTTTAGGTTTATTTGAAATCTAAAACCCATTAGAGGCTATTTTAGAGAGAGAAAACCCAAAAAAAAAAAATTCTATTGGGCCGCTTCGGTTCTGAGCGCCTGCCTGGGAGCTGGGCGGCCTGGACCCCCCCGACCACCTAGGAGCCACCTAGTGCTTTTTGAAACACTGTTATCATGTGGACATGTCCTACGGTGGTAATGTTCCGGATTTGGCCCTTGCGGTCACAAGCCACCAACCATACATAGGAGATCGATCACCTCTAGCTAAAATCATGCTTGACATCTCTTCAACCTCAACAAGGGCTAATCTGGTAAACCCTCCATTGTTGTGCCTTATGGCCAGGGCTAAGGGGTTTTGGACTCCATTCCCGAGCCTAGACCGCCCAACTTGGGTGAGTCAGTGGGCATTACAAAACATGCCTCTCCTACTGGAGTGTATCACTGTAGTCATGAGTATTTTCATTGTTTTAAGGCCTTTGAAGACCATATACCAACAGGTCTAGGCATGGAGTTTCTTATTCAACACTTGAGGAACAGCTGCCTTCTAGCTTGAGTTATGTATTTTGGATAACTGTGTATCTGCATTCTCACTCCAGTCCCTACTCCAAAGGCACACACCTCCTTAGACTTTTTCTAATGAAAATAGTGCACTAGCCTACCCTCAGTCTCAAATTATTGATTCAGGGCATAATGGTTTCTGCTGTTTGTTGTGCATTCTGATATTTTTATTAAATCTTGATCTTGTCTTATATATTCTCTTTTTTTTTAAAACATGATAATATGTTTATGTCATTTACCTGTTGGTTTGTGTGGTTTCAGAATTGAATTTGAAAGATAATGTTGCAGGTTTTTTTGGAATCAAGGCTCAAACGAATTCTGCATGGACAGCATGATACCAATCATTTCATTTTCACTGATTCAGATGTGGCAGTGGTGGATGACCTCGGGCATATTTTTGAGAAGTATCTTCATTTTGATCTGGCTGTCACTTTTCGCAATAATAAAAATCAACCTTTGAATTCTGGGTTTATTGCAGTGAGGGGAACAATTGATGGGATTTCAAAGTATGTAAAGTAGGCTCCCATGCTTTTTGATGCATAAATTGTACAGCCTTGTGGCCTATTCATTGGATGTTTTGTGTCTGCTTTCTTTTCTGCCTGCTGGATAAGAAACTCATGCTCACACATGAAAAAGGGGGTTGATGCCTAATTTTGTATGTTTCTTCTGTAGGGCAAAAGCTCTTCTAGAGCGAGTCTTGAATGTGTATATTTTGAAATTCGGGAATGCTTCCCGCATGCTTGGAGATCAGCTAGCTCTTGCTTGGGTTATAAAATCTCATCCGTCATTTGATGCAAAACGATTTTCTAGACACGAGGCCTTTGTAGATGAAATTCATGGAGCATTGGTGCTATTTTTACCATGTGCTGTTTACAATTGGACGCCACCAGAAGGTGCAGGCCAGTTTCATGGCATGCCTTTGGATGTAAAGGTATGCAAAGAATGTGAATTTAAGGTAGTAAAAGCTTTTATTCAAAGTACCATAGAAATATCACATTCTAGTTCAGATTCTTGAATGCTACTTGAATCCCATGTGAAGCTTTTTGTTGGCATGTCTTGACCTGATACTGTCAATTGTTTCTTTCTGGTTTGTGGCTGCAAATTTACCTTGAAATCTCACAACTCAGTTTTAATTAAATTAAATATATCTGTTACCTCTGCAAATGAATGTGGACAGCTTACTAATCGAGTTTTAATTAGTTTCTGTTGGCATTTGAATAAAGGAAATTGAAAAACAAGATCTTGTGGCGTATTCATAACTATGTTGAGTGGTTTAATTATGATTTATAATATTTGTTTTTTATTGGTTATAGCCTTGGAACTCATATAAGCAGTGTAAGAATGCAACAATACCCCTCTGTATCGTTTTCTGTAAACTTTACATGCCAATGGAAACTCCTTAAAGCAATGTCAACTTAGTCATCATGGTACTAAATGTTAGCGTGCATGTCAATTCCTTATTCATTATGGCTAGCTTTGAGTTGTTTCAAGGTTCTATTTGCAGTTTCCATCCCAAACTCCTTTTAAGCATGTCATAGTGGATGCCAGAGGCTGCTTATGTCCCTTATACTGAAATTATTTCCTACCTTTCATTATTCCATTATTTTCATCCAAGCATTGTACTTTGTCTATGTATGTGCCCAAGTACCCTTCTACTCCACATTTTTGTAAATAAATAAATTCTGTGTTTTCATACTTTCTGTGATGCGTGGTCAAGTTAAACCTTGGGGCTTCTATCAATGTATAAAAAAGCGTAAGGTGGGGCCTAGGCGACCACCTCATACATAAGCAGCCCACAGAGAGGAGAGAAAAAAAGAAGAGAGGAGAGAAATATGAGAAACATGAGAGGAAATAGAAAGACTTGAGATTCAACCAACGCTCGTGCACCTCTCAGCCTTATATTTTATTAAAATTTATAAAATGGACAAAACTGCCCATACAAATATAATTAGGACACTTTGGTCCAAAACCCCTAGATTTCGCATATGGAGTAGACACTTATTTACGAGCAACTTTCTTGTAGATAAAATGATAGTCTACTTCAATATGCTTTGTCCATGCAACACAGGAATATTAACAATATGGGTGGCAGCTTTCTTATTGTAATACACTCTCATAGGTTCAACAATAGTAAAGCTCATTTCCTACATCAATGTTTTCAGCCATATCAGTTCACATGTAGTGTGTGCTATTACTCAATGTTCAGCCTCGACACTAGATCTAGCCACAACATTTTTTTTCTTACTTCTCCATGTTACCAATTTTTTTATTTTTTTAGAATGTTAACCTTTAATTAATAGTATAAAGAAGTACAAGAACGAAGAAGTATTGGCTGTCTACTGGGCGGAAGCTCTAAGTACAGAAAACCCCTTATCTAAAAGGGGTGGGGGAGAATAAAAAAGCCATGTTTTTAAAAGTTACAATGAGGAAGAAACAATGCAACCAACAAAAAGAGGCCGATCCAAATGATGCTAAGGGTAGTCCTGAGTCGCTGCTTCCTTAGCGAGGGTGTCCGCTTCCTGGTTTGCTTCTTGCTATGTTTGCATCCATAAGACATGCATATCCCTGCGAAGGTAATCTATCACATCAAAAATATGAGCCAAGACCTAAGGAGGGGGGACGAGTTTGAAGCTCAGGCAATGACTTTCTTGGAATCTCCCTCAATGGTAATGGAAACTATCGTGTGGAGGTAAACAAGTTTTCGTCCCTCAAGAAGAGCCGGCGCCTCTGCTTCCATGGAATTGGCATGTCCTATGTTACCAAGTTTCCACCAATAAATGTACAATAACCCGTGTAGACTGCCTATCTGATTGTGATTCTACCCAATAACCCAATTAGCATATGAGTAACCGTCAATGGCCCAATTAGCATCTGAGTAACCTGATTATTTGGCATGTAACTCAGACCTCGACTTGGGGCTCCTTTCAGATACTTTAGAATTCTACGAACATCCCAGTGAGGAATGTTCAGAGCATGAGCATGCATAAATCGACTCAAGTCACTTACTGTAAAAGCAATATCAGGCCTGGTGTTGGTCAGATAAATCAGCGACCAGTCTACTCTACCTTCCTGGATCCTCAAACAACTCCCCCCGATTAGCCAATAATTTCATATTTGAATCCATACGTTTAGCACCCAAAATTCCAGTTTCTTGCAACAAATTAGTCACATATTTTCTTTGAGACGAACTAATGTCATACTTTGATTTGGCTACTTGGATTCCTAGAAAATACCTTAGCTGGCCCAAATATTTAGTCTGAAGATATTGTTTTAGATGTCTATTCAAATGACTGATTCCTTCTTGATTATTGCCGATCACAACAATATCATCAACATCAACAACTAAAACAATTATTCTGGAGTCTTGTTTCCAAATAAACACTAAATGATCTATATGACTGCGTCAAATCATACATGACTATGTCGAAATCCATATGCTATAACAATTTCACTGAACTTTTCAACCATGCACGTGGAGACTGTTTCAGGCCATAAAATGGCTTTCTTCAATTTAAACACTTTATTTAACTCCCCCTGAGCAACAAACCGAGGTTGTTGCTCCATATATTAAATCACCGTAGGGGAAAGCTTTTTTGACATCAAGTTGCCACAACGATCATCCATTGTTGGCAGCCACATATATAACCACTTGAACTGAATTAAGTTTAGCAACAAGAGCGAATGTTTTGGAGTAGTCAATGGCAAATGTTTGTGTATCCCTTGGTTACTAATCTGGCCGTTAATTTTTCTACAGTGCCATCAGGTTGATATTTTATTGCAAAAAGCCATCGACACTCAACATTCCTTTTTCTGGTTGGCAACTCAGTGAGTTCCCATATATCATTCCTCTTCCATTTCTCTCTTCCACTTAGTATGAGAACACATTTTTTGGTAGGTCATAGGAACAAAAATAGATGAAAGGGCTAAATTAAAAGTTTGATATGATGGAGAGAAGTTTGTACAAGTTACTAAATTAGTAATTGGATATTAGGTAGAAGACTTAATACCTTTATGGATGGCAATAGGTACATCATCATCACAAGAAGCAAATAGACGAAGATGATGATTGAGAGGCCAGCTGAGTTGGTGGGGGATGTCCAACCTGCAGTTTTCTTCTGTTTAATGGGCTGTTCTTAACAATGTATAGGTGCACTAGATTCAGTGGAGTCAGGTAAATGGGGTGAAACAGCAGTATGAACAGGAATAGGAAGAGGAATCATAGAAGGCGAGGATGTTGAGATTTCTTCAGAAGTAGGATAAAAATTATTTGTCACTCACATGACTAAATAGGAGCAAAAATAGATGAAAGGACTAAATCAAAAGTTTGATATGATGGAGAGAAATTTGTACAAGTAACAAAATTAGCAATTGGATATTGGCTGCAAGACTTGATACCTTTACGGATGGAAATAGGTACATCATCATCACAAGAAGGAAATAGATTAGCAGACGAAGATGATGATTGAGAGGCCGGCTGAGTTGGTGGGGGATGTCCAACCTGCATTTTTTTCTGGTTAATGGGCTGTTCTTAAGAAACATGATGATGTATAGGTGCACTAGATTCAGTGGAGTCAGGTAACTGGGGTGAAGAAGCAGTATGAACAGGAATATGAAGAGGAATCATAGAAGGCGAGGACTTTGAGACTTCTTCAGAAGTAGGATAAAAATTATTTGTGTCAATCACATGACTCTTCTGAACAGTATGAAATATTTTTGTAAAAGGTGACATCAGTACAAACGAATTTCTTTTGTAAGCTAGGATGATAACAACGTTAACCTTTCTGGAAGCATGAATACCTGAGAGAGAGATTCTTGACAGCCTGGGGGGATCTAGTTTATCAATACGAGTACCTAACATATGAACAACGCAAACACACCTACCAACTTGAGTACGATCAATGAACAGTGCAACATCAGGAAAGAGAACTGAGGTGGGTGTTCTTCCATTTAAGACTGAAGACGGCATATATTTAATTTAAAGAAAGAGTTTATATAAGGTTGCAACCTTAAAATGTAGAATTACAGATGCACCTCAACAATCCATCGGAAAAGGGTGTTTTTATGTTGAAAAACCTTCTAATTGATCATCTCGACATAGAGATGTATGAATAAAAAAAACAAAAAACATTGAGTCTTAGAAATAGTGCATCTTGCAACATATTATTTAGATTGTCCATTTTCAAGATTTTAATATATTTATAGATCTACTTGATTTTAACTATTTTTGAAGTTTAAAAATTTATAATTAGGTATAAGAATAGATTTTCTGATAATCCTAAGAATA